TTCTTTTCTTTTACAGTAGTATAATATATCTTCCGTTCTATTCTATTATTTTCTTTCCATTTGACTGCGTTTATTCGGAAATTTTTCTTTTTAAATAATACAGATATTTCACTGGAATTGAGCTGCTTGTTTTTTTAATTATCTCTACTGAATAATATTTGGAGCTATCCATCGTAGTTTTCAATATTTTCACTTTTTATCAAGGTTATAGAAGGAATCGATAAATATATAACAATCTAAAAGCAACTAAATAATATTTATTTTAAAATTAGTTAATGTTTCAAGAGTATCACTGTCTCAACAGTCTCATGAATCGTTGTCTCTAACTGGTAATTGTTTTTATGAATTCTTTCCTATAGAAAGTCGATGGTAAAACACAGATTATAAAGATAAAAGATGATGGGATGAATGAAACTAAATAACCACAAAGATACAACCAAGGATTTCGAGATGATTTAACACATGTTGATAATAATGAAATCAGAAAACGAGGAAATAATCGAATGACTAAGATAATATAGGACTGATAATAAGTTGTTTGTGGTGATCGAGTAATTGTTGTTGATAACTAAATTGAGATCGAATAATCGTTTTTAGACGAGTTATATATACAATAATACAAATAGCTGGAATTAAATTCACTAAAAACGGACCAATAAAATGAAAATATTGAACAATCATAGTATATGTTTCAATTGATTGAGAATAGCGAAGTACACACCAAACACGTCGTTCTTCATAATCATCAAACAAATCACGACGAATAAATTCATAATCCATCATGCAATACATTGACGTCTTTTCTTATTAGAGTTAGTTCCTTGAAAAACTGTCATTGCTCTATCAATACCTACACAAGTATTAAGCCAATTATTCATGTGTAGAAAAAAACGAAGCATTGGTTCAAATAATAAACATCCAACTCGAAGAATTTTTCGAATAACAAGTATAGAAATAATTGATGATAATTGAAGATAAATTCCCGAGGCAACTTTACGAGAATTACGATTATGAAAAACTAAATAACCAAAAAAACTATTCAATAAACCGATTAGAAAAATAATTATGGTAGAAGCTGCACTTAATTTAACTACCAATGATTGTTCATTTAATGTACTATTAGGTCGGATGTGGGTGTGAGTGAATGTTGATCAGTTCTTGATTCATACTCACACCCACACCCTTTGATTCAAATTCAATTGTTTTCATATTTATCAATACAATTTTATTGTTAAGAATAATTCTATTAAATAGTTTCAATTCATTTTTTAGTTTAAGTATTTACTTTTAAAAGTCATTTAATTTATTAACAATTTATTATTTTTTTAAATAAATTGAAAAATTGAGAAAATGTGAATAAATAATTTTACTTGTTCCTTTCAAATATCAAAAATAAAAGAAAAACTTTCTCAAATAAATTGTATTTATTTAGAATCGAAACTAATTGAAAATATTATTTCAACAGACTAATCGATTAACAGTTTTTTATAAGATTTATTCTCATATTAAATTCAAATTTCTACGAATAAATAGAATCTTTGAATTTTCTTCATTTGAAAAGTCCCTTTTAATATTTTAATGAAAAGATTATCTTGTTTTCAATTTGTTCAATAAATTTAAGTTAAATTTAACTTTTAGTTAAGAAATTTTCAAATAAAAAAAATAAGTTTTAAATCATTTTGATTTAAAGAAAGTTTTTCCTAAATTAAATATTTATGAAAATCAAATGAAGAAGTTTTAATTAGAAAATCTTGATGAAATGAAGAAATTATTTGTAATTAATTTTATTCGATTAAAACAAAATTAAACAAAAATGAATAAATTTCAACAATTTGAAATTACTGTTGCTGAATTAAATCAACTCAATAGTCCTGAAGGGATCTTTCTTGATAATGATAATTCAATTTATATTGCTGATTCTAACAATCATTGTATTGTTAAATGGAAATTGAATTTAAATACTGGTCAAATCATTGCAGGTAGAAATATTTATTGTCGAGGTCTGACAACCGATAAAAATGGATTTATTTATGCTTCTGATTGCGAGAATAATGAAGTAAAACGATGGAAACAGGGAGATAAAAAAGGTAAATTAGTTACAGGTGGAAATAGTAAAATCTTTGTGTTGTTGATCAGAATAATCATCGAACCCAAAAACCATGAAAAAATTAGATTAAGAAAATCTATTTTTAAAAGAAAAAATAATTTTTCCATTTAAATACTAAAAAAAAACTCAACAACAGATTAAATTTGTTTTATTTTATTAAAAGATCAAAATTGAAGAGAAAAAGTAGATGACATATTTCCAACAGAATTAGCAATTATATTTCACCGATTTTAATCATCTGTATACGTTATTTTTTGGACAGGAGACGACAAAGCGAATCTTCAAAGGAAATGATAACTAGCGTAAAAAAGGTATGAAACATCTTTTCATGATCAACATTTATTAGTGATGTTGCCTTGCACACAAAAGACAAATAGAATGAAAATAAGTGTCACTCATGTATATGCATTCGGCAAGAAAATCATGTAAAAGAAAACAAAATACGCTTCACTATTTTTTTTCTTGTTATCTAGTTGAATGAGGGACGGAGAGATTTTTTATTCTATCAACACTTTTTATAGTTCGTTAAATACTTTATAAAGAAAGAGAATGTAATTTCTTTAAATCATGTAAACTCATTTTCCTTTTTTTCTTCTATAATATACTATTGGAATTATCATTTTTAAACTTACATATAGTAAAATCTTCAACATGACATCCTCTGCCGATGCTGATTTTAGTGCTTACTATGATAGACTCCGTTATAATATATCTGTTATAAGTGGTTTTACATGCTTGGGTTTAGGCTTTGTGGGTAATATCATGAGCTGTATGGTGTTTGGTGAAAAAACAATGCGACAAAATCCAGGCTCTATTTATTTTATTGCATATAGTGTTGTCAATTTCCTTTCGTTATTATTTGGTTTACTCACAAATATGCTTTATGATTATAACTTGGATCCATCATCTTACAATATACCCTATTGTAAGATACACTATTATCTACAAATTATATGTATCGTGATGGGCGATTTCTATCTTCTACTGATTTCAATCGATCGAGTTCTTATTACATCGTCAAAAGCAACACTACGACAACGAAGCAACCATCGTACGGCCTATAGATCTATTGGTGGAGTAACACTTATTATGTTACTCTTCCATATTCACTTGTTTGTAGGTGTTGGCATTTATGAAATATATCCGGGCTTTAATTATTGTTATCTTCAGCCAGGTGGTTATAGAATCTTTGATGCTATTGCTAACATTATGCTCGAGATTATACCACTAATTTTTTTGAGTATATTCGGCATGTGGACATGGAAAAATCTTAGCCGAATACGTGTTCAACCAGCAACTGTTGCTTTGACTGCGGCAAATACTCATCGATCAAAAGATCGTCAGTTAACTATTATATTTCTTGCTGAAATAGTTATCTATATGTTTTTTAATACTGGGACATGTTTTTTTGGCATATACGAACAAATAACACAATATCAAACAAAGAGCGTTCGGCAACAAGCAATCGAAGAATTCCTAATAGGTTTCTTTTATACTATCACATTTATAGCTCCATCAACCAGTTTCTATCTATATTTGGCTGTATCAAAATCCTTTCGAAAAAAAGCACTTCAAGTATTGTTTAAGCGAGGTCAACATTGAACTATCGGTGATGGTGGTTGTTAGAATACTGTAGAAGATTTAATACTGTCTCAGCTTGTTTTTTGTTGTGCTGTATTGTTGTTATAAATGTTATCGTAATTATTTTATTTCTATTTGTGCGAGTAAATATGCTTTGAAATATGTTGTGACGTTGCTTAGTTCAAAATAAATATTGGTAGTTTTCTACGAAGAAGTCAAGCACATACTATGGAAAACGTATGAGGAAGTGTATGTGAGTTAAATGTAATACTCATCTCCACACCCACCTACCTACACGCTAAAGATCAGTTATCGAAAGATGTATATTCGATTCGTACTCTGATTTTATAACCTCTCTCACTCTCACCTTCGAAATAGTTTAAAACAAAAAAATCATTAAATGAAAACAGAATCAATCAAAGAAATGGTTAATGTCAATTTAAGTTTGCTTCATTTGACCAGGCTGCATGTTTTGAACCATCCATTAAAGCAAAATGACTATTTGTATCTAATAAACGATGATTTTGTCCACCAATTCGTTCTCCACAGTCAGGACATTGACTTTCTTGATTAGCACCGCCACACTAAATCAAATATAAAAAAAATATTTTTTGTTTTGTTCAAGAGAATTCATACTTCAGTAATAACATAAGGATGACCATTTGGACAAAGATACCAATGACCTTTTGACATTTTTAATGCACTAACAATAGCTATTCGTTCATTTTCATTTATTCCTAAACCAGGTAAATTATTTAAATATTCAAATTTTTTAACTAAATCATCAAATTGTTTTTGATCTTCATCAGTAAATGGACCAGTTTTTTTTGTTAAGTATTGCATAGAATCAATACCGTCCTTTTCATTTGTTTGTAAAGTTTTTTTTAATGATAAAACAAGAGTTTCAATATAAATTAGTCGACGAATACGTTTTAATTCGAATTGAATATCTTTTAATTGTTGTTCAGCAAAATTTCTACCAAGCCGTTGTGTGAATAAATATTTCACAATATGACGTAATGGAAAATTAATTTGATCTTCAAATATATTTCCTTGTATTTTTTTACGTCCATCAATTAAAATTGTATCAATTTCATTCAGAAATTCAATAACATTTGTCATTAAATTCAATTTATCATCACAAAAGAAATAATTTTTATCATATAATATAGAAAAAAAGTCACTATTGGATTGATTAAGAATAATTTCCTTTAGATTAGTTTTTATCTTTTCATATTCTGTTATTAATTGTTTTCGTCGGTGATTGATTTCTTCTTCAGATGTATCCCCTAAGATTTTCTTTTTCACCTGGGATATTAAATTATCTACTCGATTTATAATTGGCATATATCGTGTGCAACGATGAATTTTTTGTTTACAGCGTGGACATTCAGGAAAACGAATAGCTGTTTTATCATTCGAATCATTGACAAAATCTTTGACGAATTTATCAAGTGCAGTTACTTCAACTAATTTAAGATGTATAAAGAAAAAACTTTTTAACAGAGAATAAATTAATACATACTTATATGTCTACAATCAGGTAAGAAAACAAAACGTGCATCAGGTTCAGCTTCATCACCAAAGAATATCTCTTGTACAATACTTTTATTACATTTGCGACATTCTCGAGGACATGGTTCACCACACATACCAATACCTATTTAAACATTTAACGAAATAACATAAAGTTGTTTGCTTGAAAATTTATATTTACAAGTATGACCACATTTTAATTTCTTATTACAAGGTTCATTACATGAATCACGATCACATGGTTCGGAACATAAACGAGTACATTCAAGATGTTTACATTTATAAGCGCATGCCTAAATTAAAAACATTTAATTTATAAGAAACAATAAAATATTATATCTTAACCTCTTTGCATCGTATACATAATTCTCCGCATTTCTTATTACATTTCGAATGTATACAACGTGTTTGACATTCACGTACACATGGTGGACAATTAGCTGCACAAGGTTCTTTACATACCTAAATAGAATACAAAAATAAAAATAATCTTTCCGTATTCAATAAACTTACATGTGAACATATTAATTCGCGTTCACATTTTTGTCCACATGCAATATGTAATCGTCCTGCATGGCAATCTCCACATTTTCCGATGCATTTATGCTCACATGAAAGTATTTTATTACATGGTTCTGAACAAAAATAACCCTTTAATTGATCTGATGATGAAATAATGCGACATGGAACATTAATATTGTGACCACAAGCCAATTGTTTTGACGATGATTTCTTACAATTGTTGACATTCGGCACCTCATAACATGCGATACGAATTATATGACCACATTCCGGAATTATTTTATCAACAAGAGCATAGCATAGATCGTGTTGATTTGGTGTTTTATTATGACATTGTTTTCGACATAAATGACCACATGATAATCGTTCAGAACATTTTTTATAACAAATTACATCATTATGTCTACAATAAAAACGAAGATTTTTTAAAAAACTTTTAAGAATTAATCGTTTTTATATTTACTCATAATCATAATTATGACATATTAATTCACAATGATGACCACATTTAAGTCGACCATTACATGTTTGACGACAACCACCTTCTGGACGTTGTGCAAAAGATTCGGGTTTATCAGCTATAAATTTATCTTTTGAATGTTGCCGACAAGAAAGAGATAAACCTAATGATAGAATATTGAATTAATAATATTAATTAAATGATTAACTAACCTTTCCCAATACTATTTGTTTCCAATAAAGATGAAATAATATTTTTCCATTTATCATTAACTTCTGCTAATAAATCCATATTTCCAATAACGAAAAGTCCACAACGTGCACGTGATAGAGCTACACATATTCTATTATGCGTCTTAAGAAAACCAATATCTTTCTCGGGATTACTCCGAACTAATGATAATATAATTATATCATTCTCTTCACCTTGATAATTATCTGTTACCTATAATAAAAATCTTTTTATTTTATTCAAAAATTCAATATCAATATAAATAATACCATAATTCGAATACCACGTAAAAGATTGATTTGTTTGACTTGTTTAGCAATAAATTGTCTTTGACCAAGATACATAACAAGTATAGTTATTTTTTTGGATTCATAACCTTGTTTAATCAAATATTGTGCTAATTTAATGACATAATTACCTTCAAAATCATTTTGTTTTGAACTTCCATCAGGAACATTTGTTTCAATATAATCATGCTTGATAAAAAATACATTACTATCAATACCACGTATGGGAGCTCGATCGGTTGTAACACTTATATGATCCTCTAAATCATCATAAAAATGTTTCATTAGACGAGCAATTTCTGGTCGCATACGATGCTAAAACAAAAAGATTTGTTTTTCTAATTATTAAAATCTTTTTTTCTTGAATTATACCTGAATATTTAATCGAACATTTGGAAAATTATTGTTAATAAGACGTTCAAATAATGATACATCCATATTATATTTTACTCCAAGACGATATACATTTGGATTAGGTTTTAATTGTACATGATCACCAATTAATATTAAATGTTCACATTTTGTACTTAATGCAGTTATTATATGTGCTTCAAATATTGCAGCTGCTTCTTCAACAATAACAATTTTACTTTCTATAAATAGAAATAAATATATGAATTAAAATTGATAAATTTCTTACGAAGTTTTTCTAAAATTCTATGATGATTGGCAGCACCTGTTGTTGTCATAGCAACGATAATGCTATCTTTTAAAATATGATAATCTTGTTCTTGATTATGTTCAGCAAGAGCCGATACAGCTTGATTATATACTCGACTACTATCACTAATAGAATCATGTAGATATTGTCGATATTTTAAAAGCCAATATCCATATAAATCATAACGCTGAACCATAGAAAGTTTCCAAACATCATCACCTATTTCTTGAATTGTTTCATCATTAAGAGTTGTAGGATATTGGATGATAAATTGAATTGATCGATCATTATCATTTCGCTTTCTTCGTCCAGTTTCAGATTCTCTTTCACGATCATCTTTATCTTTTATGGGATTTACTATAAATTTTTCAGGTTTTCGAACAGCGGAAGAGGAAAAATGTTCATATTCTTCTATGTCAAATTCATCTCGTCTACGTTGTTGCTCTTCTTCTTGTTCTTCATCTAATTCATCTTCTGTATTATAAGTTATTTCCATTGGTGAAACATCTCTTTCTGCATTATCTTCATAAACTAAATGATCAGATATTTGCTCAAATCCACTATCAAGATCAAACCATTCGAATAATACTTTTTCGACTATATTATAATTATAGGGAGCTAATAGTGACTGAAGATGTTTACTATCAATAATAGCATAGTCAGTAAATGATGAAAGAGGTAGTATATTTGTTTGCGACATTTCCATCTTATATCGATGTAATTTTAAATCTCCTTCAGCCTTCATTTTCTCCGCTAATAATTCTCGTCTTCTGTTAAAGATGTTCTGAGGTATAGAACGATTTTCTCGAGCACGTTGTCGTGCATTATATAATGAAAAACGTTGAATATTTGAATTTTGGCATTGATTTCCGACACGAATAATACCTAAAATAAAAACTATGATTAATACATGTTATTTGATAAAACCGTTATTTAAACCTTCATTTATATTTAAACGTTTTACAATTAATTCTAAAAACTGATCAAGTGCATGATTTGTATGGCAAATCATAAGAATTGGTGTTGATTGTTCCTCCGATGGACACCAAACTGATCGATTATGTAAAAGCATTTCTGTTATACGTACACCAAGAAAAGTCTTTCCAGTTCCCGGTGCTAATTTAAAAAGAAAAATTTACTTTTTTTTGTCAAATAATTGAAATTTTCATGTTACTTACGCCCTTGTATAAGTGCAACTTTATTTGTTAAAGCTAAAATTAAAGCTTCATGTTGTTTTGGATTAAGATGTAACTGTTCGCTTGTTGGCCATTCATCTATATTAAGTACGGGAACTTTTTTAAATTTTTCTTCAATTTGATTTGAATGTTTATAACTGATTCGCAATTCTCCTATAGTTGTCGGTTTAATCAACGTTCGGAGACGTGGTAATGTTTGACGAATAATTACATTTGTTTGAACATTTGAATTTGGATCAACAAGAAGTGGTGTAAAATCATATGTTGTCGTTGTTGTAAGATAATCTGGTGGTATCCTTTCATTGGTTAATTTAAGAAGAAATGGACCAAGTGGAAATCTGTCATCAGTAGGCATCATTTGTAATGCACTTAAAACTGGACGATATGCTGCAAAATATGTCGTTGTTTCGATCATTGTTAAAGAACATGAAGAATCAATTTTATTAAGATCAACTTCAGTTCCTTGATCATTATTAAAGTTTTCTAACGTTTTAACCTGATTTAATTAAATAGAAGAAAAATAAATAACTAAAAATAAAATTTACCGATATAATAAAACGTTTTTCAATTTGTGAACGATCTTCAACTGTGGCAAATGTACATGATCGAAAATTATCAAATGTAACAAGTAATAAATTGCCATACATTAAACGTCGACTATTAGCCCAGAAAATTTTCCGTGCGACTCTTGCATCCAAAACTAAATCATAAACAAGTCCATTTCGTGGAGTTAATCGTGGACCAAGTGATTGAACATTTTCATAAATTCGTACATTGAAATTTTTTCCTTTGACTTTGGATAAATGTTGTTCAATACCAATACGTAATGGTCCAATAAAATCTTCACGTAAAAGACGGAAATGAATCTTAAAAAATATCGAGAGTTATACGTAAATCAAATAAAGAAATATTAAAATTAATTTAATCTTGAATAATATCATAGTATCCTTACACTTCAGATTTAGGAATCCAGGTTAAGAAACCACTCTCAGAGTCTTATAATCGGATTTCTCTTGATTTCCGACGGAATTCGATTATATCCGATCGGAAAGATCCGAGAATAATTTCGTCACTCGGATTTCGATGAGTTCAAGTGTTCAACTATTCAGTTCTATTTGATCACGTCTTTTCCCTTACCCACATCCTCATCTATATCGTTCGGTATATGATAAATAAATTTAATTTGATTACTCCACTCGGTATTCTGTCATCTAGTTCTCGATACCAGCTCAACAGATATTGTGACATCTATGTTATCTTACATCAAGGTATTGTTTTGCATTTTCATAAATACCATTAACAATATTTTTTCGAAGATAGGGTCGTTCATCAGATAAAATTTCCATTATATCGGGAACAATGGATAATAGACGAAAATCATTGGGTGGTTGACCAATATTATTTTGAATAGTAGTAATCTTTTTAGAAGCTTTTGGGTTTAATAATTCTTGTCGTTTTTCAATTTCTTTTACACGTTCAAGTACTTCATCGAGTATTTCTTTTGCACCTTCAAATTCCTACAAAAACAAGCAAAACAGAATAATTTAATAAGAAAAAAAAACGAAAGAATATACGGGTGACTCTGATTGATTCTTAGTCAATTGTAATTCAATACGTTCAACGATTTTTGTTAAACTATGAGCTGAATGAGGTATCATAGCAAGAAATTTATTGGATATTTTAAGAAATAATTCAATAAATTTAAAACGTAATTGATTTGTATCAGGATCAGATTTTCGAATTTCATCGTAAACACCTTCGAGATAAAGTGTGTCAGGTAATTGTCCATAGATCATTATAATATATTCACGTAATCCGATACATTGTGTAATTTTTTCAAGTAATATTGTCATATGATTCATCCAATCGAATCTTTCTTTCATACGTTTATCATTTAAAAATTTGTTTAATTGAAAATTTGGCTGAAGCATTTCCGCAAGAATTTCATCTGGTGTTTTATCAATTAATTTAGTAAGTGTAGGATATGAAACAGGCGGCAAACGTAGTCGTTTATTTGGCCTAAGAATTTTTAGAACGATTTGATTGATGTTTTAACCAAAAATACAACTTACGGACTATCCAATCTTGTCGTAGACTCATGTTTACCATTGTAATGACGCTTATTACTGGAATAATGATTTTGGTTTTCACTATATCTAAAATAATTATTTTATTAACATTCTTTATTCATTTGAATAAAGCAGTATACCTATTAGAAGAAGTTGTATGATGATATCCATTCCAGCGATCCTGGTGTTGAGAACTATTTGATTTCATACTATGACGATCTCGAGCATTAGACATTGCTAACGACGTTTTTTTCTCGTTTTTAAAATAAACTTATTCACAGTATAATGAGCAAATAAAGTTTTGTTTATATCTTCTTTTATATATAGTAGGTAAGAATCTACTGGGTTTTTTTTCCAACAGCGACTATGGTAAATGAATGAAGAGAACACAAAAAAAACACAACACACGGCAACAAAGTCTTTCTTTTGTTTGGTGAGTCATTACACAAGATGATGTCATTTTAATTTCATTGAGTAGAGAGTTTGTTTTTGTCTATAGACATGAAGAAGCTTTTTGAGAGTTTTGATAAGAATCAGACAAAACAAATAAGTTGTTAGCACGTTTCAATTTTTTTTGTAGAGAAAGGAAAGAAAAAACAGACTTCTTCTAACACGAACCGTTGATCACCAAGCATTTTTTAAGGCGCGACCATTAGAATTTTTTTATATCCCTGATGAAAATTTCCGTAAACTACCTCCACGGATTTTTAGAATGTCTTATAGAATCTCTCCTACTCTACTTATATAGCGAGAGAAGACGGTGAGTGAATCGTGACAAAAATTTCAGCTCGACAGCCATATATTTGGATTTCTAAAATCTAAATCTGCCGTTTTATTCGTGCGGCACTCTAACATTTCACAATATCCGACCGGTTCCTGCCGTACATCTTTGACGTGGAAAATACTTATAACGCGAAACATTATGTAAACTCACAAAGCAAATAAAATACTGACCAAAAGCTATCTTATTATGTTATAGACAAAACATGTGATTGACTAAATTCTATTGTGTATATTAGAATGTCACATATTATTACGATTTCAAACGAATAAAATATCTTATTATTGACCCAATAATTTGATAGTATTCATTGTTGTTGAGTTATTTTGCATTTATTTTTTGTGATTTTTTACAATATTTTTTCGAACATTTACGAAAAAGAGGATGATGATGAGGGTATTTAGTCGCTCCTATCTCTCACATTTCACACCCACCCCCTCAAGATACTTCCCGCATTTATAATTGATTTCTAGAACCGTGCGGATTTAGTAGTCAACTCTTATTTTCTACAATGCACCCAGTTGGATACATGTGTGTTTTTTCTCTTTAATTGGATTTTCTGTAGAGAACATATTCTGAAAGTATTTATCAGTACGAAACGCATTTTTATATAACAAACAGTGGTAGATTGAATGGCTAGAGGCATTATGTATCGTTAAAAAATTATTTTAGCAAGAAAAACATTTAACACATTGCATGTTTCAGGTACCTACTTTTCTCTGTTTACTATGTGCCAGGATGCTCTTCGTCAAGTGAAAAATCAAAATTGACTGACTGTTTTTTTCTCCACCTTGTCGCTCTTAAGCGAAGCAATTTGCACCTTATAAAGAATGCAAGAGCCGATCGACACTTCAATTATTTTTTTCCGTTCCAGTAACAATCATATTCAACAATATTTGGCAAATCAACATGAAAATTTGCTTTGAGTTTTAAATAAATAATGTATAAGAAGAAAATTAATAACAATGTAAGAGCAAAGAACAATATATATATATAATTTTTATATTTTTTTAATAATATGACAAGAAGAAAAAGTGAAAAAAAAAGAAAGAAAGAAAGAAGGGTGGTTGTGTGGGTGTTGGTATGTTTAGTTGAAGAATAGAGACCAACACCTACACCTGTTGATAAGGTGCGAAAATTTCCATTGTTATTATTAAAAAATAAAATTTCCATTACATTTACTTCGTTTATTTATATTGCATTAAATCTCATGTTTTTACATTATTTTTATACATTCTACGATTGTATTAAGCACAAAATAACATGAGTATCATATTTTTATCTAAAATCGTCAAGTTAGCAATTCTAAAATGCTAATGAATATGATAAAATCGTAGTAAAATCAAAAAAATACTTGAGAATTCTAAAACATTCTCGATATTTTCAAAATGTGAGAAACTCTTTAGAAATTCAAGATATTTGAGAACAGCAGAAGGTGAAAATAACTCATTTTGAGATAAATCCAACATTAACAATTATAATAATACATGTTTCATGGTATTTGTAATGTTATAAATTAATTAATTAAACGGAAAATAAAATTAATTATTATTAAATCTTAAAAAATTTATTAACAAAACATCTTTGATTTCATTATCTCTTTTTCAAAATCATTGTGAAAGAGTAAATAAACAATGAGTGATGAAATATAATGAAATTATTTAGTTCATTCTTAATAATGATTAAATAGAGACTAAAATAGTTTCACATCCGCTTTATAATTTTGTTGAAATTATTTCAAAAGAAAAAAACTTCGAATTTTTATAAAAATTTCTGTGTAGAAAATTAAGGGTGTGGGTGTGGGTATGTATGTGTAAATATAGAGCTAATGAGATACCCACATCAACAGCCTTCACAGCCACGTCTACCCTTGAAAATAAACTGTTTGCTTGCATGTGAGTCCGCACTTCAGTGATTGGTCAAAAATAATGTGAGAACAAAGAGATTCCTCTACCATAAAGTTCGACCTAAGAGTAATCACGCGAGAGAGAGTCGAGCGAGTGTCCTGTCAAACGCTACTCGTTTTATTTATTTATTTAGCATGAATAAAATAAACATGTTCAGAAACGAACACTCGGAGATAAAACTGAGGAGAATACTTGAATGTTTGATTGATTTTTGAGTATAGATAAGTATCTAAGTAAAATGTATTTGGAGGTTCAAAGTTGAAGTGCCACTTAGTAGAAAACAAGCCAATTAATCATGGTAATCATGAAACTTTAATTTCCCATCTTTCGTTTTGATGATCAGACAATTCTGGTTCAGCTGTATGGCATTCTCAACATTATCATCACCATATTCAATGGGCATTCGCCCTATGACATTTTTTGAAATGAAACTCATGACAGTAGCTGTAAAAAGCCATTCACCAGTCGACAAAGATACTGGTACTGGTGTATTGATTTGATTACTCTCGTTAAAATCAACAGTCTTTAGGCATTCCATAGTCAAATAATTGCGTGATTCAAATCGATAGGTCCTAAATTGATCAATGATTAGTCCAATGTGTAAACTATTATTTTGTGAAAATCGAATGTGATGAATCATTTCTAAATTTCCGCATGATATGGGTGGTCCCCACAATTTTGTGCGCTTCCAGTCTGACAATTGCCATTGATCAATAATAGGATTGAATCCTTTGTAAGTAACCAAGAATATTTGATCCGAGCATGTACAGCTTTCATATTCACGATCTTTCGAGTCTGGAATGTGTTCTATGTGTTGACTGTAGTTTGTTGTTGTCATTTTTTCCTCATCAAATGTGTAAAGTTTTTTAATCTTGTCTGCAGTCAACACGATAAATTTACCCAAATAGGATGACCAACAAATAGCTTGGATCCCGATTTTTCTTTCATTGTTCAACTCTACTTGCGTTTTGGTGCCGTTTTTATCAATGTGATACAGTTTGTGAGATGGCAAAGATGATCGAAATATTGTTACATCAGTGGGTGAGAACAGAATTGAATTTGTTGATGCGGAAAGCCGACCGCAACCCTCACCACCAACTTCAACGATTACACGCGGTTTTTTTCTCAGTTGTTGAGTTAAATCCATACATCGAATTTGATCCCGTTCGGCCGATTGTTCAAAGAAATTTCGAGCCTGTCGTTGGGTTTGATTTGTACGGCCGAATTCCGAATTCCAAAATTCCCTTTCGAATCTTTTGTTACCGTCGTCGGTGGATCGACAAGGTGGCTGCGGAATGTGTGACATCTCGTCGTCTGATTTGTCTTTGGCACCTTTAACGTATTGTGTATTTAAAGAATGACGGTTCTTCTTTTTTGGCTTTTTCTTTTTGTTTACCATTTCTGATTTTGCCTCGGATGCAGATGCGCCAAACGTACTACAATCTTCCGTGTTTCTTTCGACTGTTAGCAATCTTAGTTTCTCTGGGTTAGCGGTAGTCGTGACCGTTTGTTCAGATGTGCAAACCTTTTCTTCTGCTAAACTGTCGATTGTGAATGTCGATGCTGGATCGTTTTGAGAAGACTTAGCTGTCTCCATTTTCAGTGTCAATTCATCAAGTTGTTGCTGTGAAGAAGCAGGCGAGGTCTTTACTTTAGCCATCTCAGACCGATCCATCGCTTGTATATATGCGCATTCGACTTCATCGGTTAGCCCATATTTTTTTTTCAAATGAATATATTCATTGTAATGATGCTGAGATAAAGTGGTTTCATTCATCTGCTTAAAAATGAAAGCTAATCTATTGTGGAAATGAGCTTGAGCACGAAAATCATCTTTTGAAATTGTAGGAAGCTTCGCTAAATAAATCTGTCGGGACTTGTCGAACTCAGCCATGCAGAAGAATAATGCACCCATGCGCCACAGAACATCTCGTCCCTGTATTTGTTCGCGTATTTTATCAATCAATTGATTACTCAACATGTTGGACAATTTCAATTTGATATTCCATATACCATTGTCCGATCGCTCGACAGTCTCAATACGAAAGACAGAGTGCATGGAAAAGAGAATTTGATTTTTGCTTTTCTTTCCGTAGCTTGTCACTTCTATGCGTGCAAATGGACTAATACCTTCTAGTGACGGATCCACATGCATTTCAAACAGAATTCCGATCAGACCCTTGTTGAAAGCGTTTTGAGCTGAACAGAATGCTTCTTGTCGGTCTGTGGTCGTGAATATAAAATTGTTGAAGACAATGCAAGTTTCGTTTTTTTTTAAGAGACGCTTAAAGTCATCTGGTTGCATTCCTTGTCCACGATAAACAATCAATGGACTTTCATATTTGGATTTTTCAGCATGGATTTTAGCAAGCTGGTTATGAAGATCCCGGATAAAGAAATGTACGATACATAAAATTTCAACATCCAAAAGGTGGATGGCTCGATTGATAGTTCGCGAAACAAAACACCGTCGAGTGTACCACCAAATAGGTGAACTATGTTTCCCTTTTCCATAAGTTCGTTCAAATTCTTCAATCATGCTCAATTCTTGAACGTTACCACGATAGTTGGTACGACCGAAAAGTGCATATATCTTTACGAATATTGCGGATTCAGCAGTATTTTCCACAAGAATTTCTTTTAATAATTGAGAATATAGGAAAGACAGTTCGTTCTGTTCATTTACTCGAACAAGATCATGTTCACATTGAGTAATATCCTTTTGAAGTTGATCACGTAGATCAGCTACTTGAATAAAACCATTCTTTACTTTTCGTGGATAATCTTCATGTGTCATCGCCATACCCATAATATAGATTGAATCAATCGAGACAAGATGATGAATAGCAGAAATTATGGAGCGAGTATCATTGCTAGAAGTTGACGATGCCACGACAAAGAATACACGCTGATCGTTAATCAATTGGTTGACAAAATCGACACACGTTTGCCTATCGTTGAATAATAAATTCCAATTAACTATATCCTGCAATTCATTGATCATTCTTCGAGCCCGTCTTTCGTCATCATTGTCGCATAAATCTAGATCATACCATACAAGAATAACGTTTTCGACGCATCGTTGCTTCAGTTCACGTCGACCGAGGTGCGACGAATTATTTGCCACTACTGAAGATGGTATTTCACGTTTTACTACCTATCCACAAACAAAATATTACCGAAATATTTGTCTCTTACATAAGTGATAGAGACTCGTCATAGCTAAGGTGTGGATGTGAATATGCGTGTAAGACAAGAAGAGACCATCATGCACTCACACTCACTCCACACACGCACCCTGGGATCGGAACAAACAAACCCAGATCTAAATCCACTTTCGAGATGCTTAGATATCAGATTCGTCCTGTGAACTGCGAAGCTCCGTCAAATTCTGAAAAAAGATTCCGTCCCAAAAAGACTAATAGAACCCCGACGTCGCTCGGTGCATTTTTAGTGTACAGAATTCAAGAGCTTTTTTAGATTTCGATAAAACCTCTCAAAATTGAAAATCGAAAAATTGAGTATGATTACATTCGAAGTGTTTTGTTCTTGTATTAAATGAGACTCACCTCTTCGATTATTTCAGATATTCTCGTCTTGTTATGTTGCGTCAGTCTGTTATTCTCTACGATCGGCTTTTTGTTCTGTGATGTTTTAGTTTCTTCACAGCAGCAGTCCGTATTTGTATCTATGGTATCTTTTAGATCGCTTGTTGCTTTTTCGGTTGATTCTATAGGATCATATTTTGATACTTCGTCGACGATTTCTAAAATATATTGTAGTACTCCTTGTTTTTTCCGAGATGTTAGTTATTGTTGAAACATATCTTTATGTTGCCTGTACGTTAGTATGAGAGGAAGAAGCGGTCACTGGTGCCTCGGATCCTTTGAATCCTGACGTGACGGTGAGGGTGTTGGTGTTTTTTTAATGATATATACATCCACACCCACACCCCGCTTTTTCTCATTTCATTAGTATGGAGGACAATGAGCTCAGCAAATACTTACCAGAAACGGATACTGATGAAGACTGTGCAGCATCACGTGTCGGTTCTTTGGTTTGAACAATATCCGATGTTACAGGGTCAAGCGAAAATTCATCAAGACATCCGAGACTTGGTGGTAATATATTCGGTTGAAAACAAAGCTATAGAGAAACTTGAGCTGTTATTTTTAAATTCAGTCTCCTACCTGAACATGTTTCTTTATGACATTAGCTTCGATTTCAACTATCATATGATTTTTTTTGTCATAATCTTCAACATTGTTAGCAGTTTTCTCGTCAAACTGAATCCAGATCAGTTTAAGACTAGTAATATGACTATGTGGAAAAAACAAAATATTTTTGTTTACGTAGTGTTCTATTTCCGAATCTCACTGTTCATTGATTGATTGTGATTGTTTTAGTTTTTGTAGGTATTCTTCATATTCAGCTTCGAGTGCGTAATCGAATGTTTCTGCAGTAGTTTTTAGAAGGTCAAGTGACGCGGTCATTTTTTCAATATTTTCTTGTAATATTTGATATTTCAGAACTGTAAACGAAAAAATATACAAGTAATATTATGATATTGTCTAAGTAGTATGTCCTAGACAAGTGAAAATAGTGAAGAATCGTAAAACTTTGAAATATAAGCCGCAATGTGAATAAAACCAACACAATCATTACCTGGTTTGCCAGTGAAAAGTAAAGGATATGTTCTGGTATATTTTAAATAGTAGCGTCTTTAATATCAATGTGATTCATTTCGTACATATATTTAAAAAATATGGTAAATATTGTAACTCACTTGTCTGTCTACGTAAAGAATCAATTTTGTTTTCAAGTATCACTTTTCTTCGAGAGAGTTTATCCGCTTGATAATGTTTTTCAATACATAAAACACATTTTGGATATTGACACAGTTCGCAAGCTTTTAGTTCTTCAACCACTTGGCATCCTGTACATTTTGCATGAATAGTAGAAGCAGTGGTTCCTGTTGTATTTGACTGCTTGTTTCTTTTACTTCGTGGCATTTTACTTTTTCACAAAAAGAAATGTTATGTCTGTCCCATTTGTCTCACTTACTTTGTATATCTGCTCTGATTTTTCTTTTTCTTTTTCTTTCTTTCTTTCTTTTTTCACGCCATCTTGCATTGTGTCGACAGCGCGATAGAAGAGAACAACAATAGTGATATTGTTGTTATAGAGATCTTTCTCGTAAGAACAGTCTGGCAACTAATCTACAAGTATCTAATAAATTTACATATCGACTCGTAGTAACATTTATAAACAGTATCAAAACAGAAACGCAATCTTACACAAGTTTCATATGTAATTTAATTAATAGATATACGAGTTATAAATTAAGCTTTTCTTATTTTTCTCGCTGCAGGTTACGTGTCTTTATTCCATATGTCAAAGATCGATAAAAAAAAGTAATGCATAAATCACGTATTACTTTTTTCTTCTCTTTCATAGTGATATTGCGTAGGAACATAGAGAACGAAAAAAGCAAGTTGAGTATTTCATCCAATAGCATACGTCAGATAAAAGAGACACGAAACATAGCTTTATATTCAGTTAATATGTCATAACGAGAAAAAAAACAGCAACCAAATAAATCATCAGCTACAGTCGTCTTTTTTCATTCCAAATGACCAGAATTCCAGGTGAATCGAGAACTCAAGGTTTGCGAGTTTTTCCAGTATTAAAAATATTCTTAACCCTTAAAAGCCAAAGGGGATTCCTGTGAAGTTGAGGCAGAATTAATCACATAAATAGAGATTTTCGGTCCTCAATATGCACTTACAGTGGTTAGAACTGCTGGGTGTGACTAAAAATTTTTTTCCACCCAGATGGCCTGGGTGTAATATGACATTCATAATTTTTTGTGCACTTGAATTTCTTATATAGTTCAGAATCACTGTAAGTTCATTCTGATGATATTTTAACATATCTCCAATTATCTATTGAGCGAAAAATTCACAATAACCGTGATTACTAGGCCCAAAAATGTCATTAACATGGTACTTTTTATAACGTCAGAATACCTTAGTAGAAGAGTTAAAAGCGTGCAAAGTTGTTCTAAACTATAGTTTAGCATTATTTCTAATGATATCACTCAAAATCTATATTGTAAATATCAGGAGATATAAATATCCGAGTAACCAATTGTGCTTGAAAAATTGCACATTCTAAGAGCCAGGTTTAGCGTTCAACAACTGTTTTAGCATAATTGTGTTCCATCATACTTTCACTATGACTGTCTTCATCCCTGAAAACAGTAGCTTTTGTAAAAAAGACATTATTCCTTCGTTCTATAGCGTTTAATACAATGTCCCTTGGAAGGGATATACAGCTTTTAAGGGTTAATTTACTGAATAAGATTATGAACAAAAAAACTTTTTTTTTGAAGAGAAGCAACGCTTGATAAAAAAATCAAGATGTGGATACCTTGTAACATAAGTGCACAGTACGCGCCAGTATGGGTTACAACAAGATTACACTTATATACCCACTTTCACCTCACCCACACACTCTCAGTTTTGAAAAATGTTTTCTGAGTAAGACCTTTTGGTATTTGTTATTGTTCAGTTACTTTTGAAACTTCAAAGCTTTCAAAACAAAATGTTATAAATCATAAAAATGAAGTTGATCAGGTCGACTGGTTTGAATAGCTAAACAGTTTTTGTCATTCGGTACCAATGATACTGAGCATACTCCTTTAGCATACTGAATCGTTTGTTTCTGTTGTCCATTTGAATGAAAAAATGAAAGCTTTTTCTGAGAATATTTGTAAACTAAAAACTCGTCATTCGGAAGAGCGAGCATATAGTGATTACAGTATCCTTCATAAAACGGCTGTTCAACTGTATGTAACACTATCATATCTTGCCAATTACGTATTTGAAAATAAGCTTTTACAATACGAGGTTCTGTTAACGTTACTCCCAAATGCGCACCACTACTGCTAAATCGAATACTACAAATTCCTTGACCTTCTTTACGAGATATCGGTGGTTTGTAGCGTTTAATTGATTGCCAGTTCTTTGTCATATCCCACATCTCTATTATTGAGCCTCCAAAGTCGCTGACGACCATGAATATATTATCGTAGCACGTGCATTCATCCATATAGCGAGCGAATTGTGAGATTTCTATCATCAATGCAGTTTCTCTTGTCATGTCAAAGGAATAAAGATGTTCGTCGCTTAAAATGAGAAATTGTTTCAAATAGGCAGACCAACAGATATCAGAGACATTGAAGGTACGTTTAAGACTTCGATGTTTGTTTCCTTGTGTGTCAAGAAGACATAATTCACCTTCTGGGCAGACAAGAAAATATTCATCGTTAGAAGCCATTCTTTGTCCTTCTACTACAGTTACCGATGATCGAGGTTTCGTTGTCAGGCGATCGAAATTCAAAGTCGCTGCTGCTCTCTCAATTGCTGTCGCAGATGTGAGTGATAGTGTCGTTGACGCCGATAATACATTAGACGCTGCCAATATTGTTAGTGTTTCTGTGGTTTCAGGTGAGATTTTTGATTTAGCTGAGATATTCGATTCAACGACTGTTGGTGCTATGGTGGCACTCTCGACTCGTTGACGCTGTTTACTCAACCGACGTTTCTGATTTTTTGAAAGTTGTTGTTGTATTGGCTCCGATGATATTTCCAAATTTGCTGAGCTATCATCCATGTTCTTCGCTTTATTTATGTCGATAAGTAGTACAGGAGAAGACGAGGAACTATCAGGAAACAATTGCTGTGCCACACCTAATGAAGTTAATAATAATATTTAATGATCGAGTTTTCGTACTGAATGGGAAACATTTTAAGAATGTGGGTGTGGTTGTAGGTGATAGTGGGTGTAGATATCATTAATAGAACATCCACACCCTCAAGACTTCGGTTTATCTTGAGAATTTTTCTTCATCGGTACTTAAAGACAACTTGCATCATACAAGTATTTAACTCAAACTGACAAGACCAGAATGTCAAAGTTAGTGCTTACTAGGTTTTGATGAAGAAGATAATGATGGAACATCGGGCAATTGTTTCTCACTCTCAACACTATTGGATAATATTGAATCTGACAAACATTCATTGAGACATCCAAGAGTTAGTGGCGATGCAGTTGGTTGAAAACGGAGCTAGAGTAAAAGTTCAACCGATCTTTTCCTGCTGTAACTCATACCTGTATGTATTGTTTTGCGAGACTAGCTTCGATTCCACTTAGCATACGATCGATTTGTGTACTATCTTCGACACTAGTCATCATCATCTTCTCCACTTCCGTCCACATCTGCTCGAGATCATTGATATGTCTACAAGAAAAACAAATAACACTTCTCTCGTTTCTGACATCAACTCATCCTTTCACAGTCTCACTGTTGGTTCATAGTTTGTGATTGTTGCAGTTTTTGTTCATATTGATGATATTCTTCTTTGAGTGTACGATCAAACGTTTCTTTGGTAGATTTGAGAAGATCGAGTGATGTGCAGACTTTCTCAATACTTTCTTTCAATGTTTCACACTTCGAAGCTACAAAAGACAAAACATTTTCACACAAGTATAGCATATCTTCTAGAGGTTGAATCTCAAACAACATTCATTCTTCGCAAGAATCGGCGACATACTCAGTACTTCATCTGCATTGCTGACTGTATAAAAGAGTATGAAGAAAGATATCACTCACTCGTGTTCTGACGCAGAAGATCAGTTGTTGTTTGTAGAGTTATTTGTGTGCGAGAAAGTTTGTCTGCTTGTCGATGTTTATCGATACATGAAGCACATTCAGGATACTGACAGAATTCGCAAGCGGCGAGCTCACCATTGACTTGGCATCCTGCACATTTGGCATAAATCATCGGAGCGATCGAGTTATTATTGGATGCATTTGTCTGCTTGGTTACTTTTTTTCGCGGCATCTCAATATCGCACACAGAAAACCGTGGGTTTTTTTGTTCGTTTGATGTCTGTAAATTAATAAAAGTTGTTATGTCTGATTTTCTTTGCCTCTTTTGTTCCTCTTGCAACTATCAGCAACTGCAAAGACAGGACAGAAGAAAAATATTATTGTGTTACAGGCACTTTTGCATCAGTATTTTGCATATAAAATATTGAAAAACATTACTAAGAGAAAGGTAAAATAAATTCTTTGTTACTTCATATGTGCGTCTCGAAAAAGTCTAGTGCACTATCAACGCAAAAAAGAAAGAAAAATGTGAAAAAAGAGAATAAAAGATTTTTATCAGGTAACGATTATGAGCCAAAGAACGTATAGCAGTTTTCTTGCTGCACAATCAAGATGCCACCAAAAAAAAAAAAAGAACAGAAAGTATTAATCGCTTCAACCGGCTTATATGTAATATGTGTGTGTAGATATGGGTGTCTAACTTTTATTTACTGTCATCCAGCAACCACAGCCACCAAAACAGGAGAAAAAATATTTTCTTTGTGAAGAGAATGAAAAAAAAGAGTTATGTTTGCTTCAGCTTTGCACATTGCAGTCAGAAAAAATAACATTTTAAAGAAGAGAATAAGAAAAAGAGCTCTCAGTGTTTGCCGATTTCGCGTCAACTGTTACTCTCTACGCAAGATATACATGTAACGTACGCATATGTATTAGTCAATACGTCTTATTTTATCATTATGATATACCGGATTGTGCATAACGTTTTGCTAAAAAACAGGTAGTGCTATGATTTCAAGTGGAATATCTGATGGACTCTACAGCAAATTACAGTACATTCGAAACTGGATTTATCAGTATTAAGTAGTCAGAGTTCTCAAAGCATTTTAATATTGGTCTTACGCAATTTTATGTATTTTTAGCATGGAAAACTAAGGTGACAACAATTCAGATATAGGGGAAAACGGATTCTTCTGATGTGTCTACATGTTCTACGTGGTTTGATAGAGCTCGTCGAGGTTTGAAAAACCGAATACATTACATGTTTTCTCGTTATTATTCCGAGTTGAGAAATTATCAAGAGTACTTGCAAAATGCTTAAGACCTCTGCCAACTCGTTTTTTTTTCATTTACAAGAAAAGCACTTGAGTTTCTCAATAAAACTAGCTTGTTTCATTATTACCACCCTACATAGGTTTGTATATGACAAGAAAGTCGTTGTTAGAGGTTTTTCGCATTTCGCAAGTACTCATGAGAATTTATCAACTCAGAACAATCGCTGAAAAAAATTATAATGTATCCAGTCTCGTACAGCCTGACGAGTTCTATCAAACCATCTAGAAGCATCCTATACTCAAAAGCGCCTTGAGATACTTTGAGAATTTCTACTACGTAATACTGATAAATCTAGTTTCCAATGTGCTGTAATCGGCTATAAAATTTATCAGATATTTCACTTGAAATCGTACAGCGATCTCTTTCTCCATCAAAAAGGTTGTGCACACCCCGGTATACTAGATTTAATAACGGAAGATATTGATTGAATAACACGGTGAGCAGAATAGTTTTCTTTCCAGAATAACGAAATGCCACGAAAAAAAGTAACCAAGCAGACAAATGCATCCAATGATAACTCGATCGCTCCGATGATTTATGCCAAATGTGCAAGATGCCAAGTCAATGGTGAGCTCGCCGCTTGCGAATTCTGTCAGTATCCTGAATGTGCTTCATGCATCGATAAACATCGACACGTAGACAAACTTTCTCGCACACAAATAACTCTACAAACAACAACTGATCTTCTGCGTCAGAAGACGAGTGAGTGATATCTTTCTTCATACTCTTTTATACAGTCGGCAATGTAGATGAAGTACTGAGTATGTGGCCGATTCTTGCGAAGAATGAATGTTGTTTGAGATTCAACCTCTCGAAGATATGCTATAATTGTGTGAAAATGTTTTGTCTTTTGTAGCTTCGAAGTGTGAAACATTGAGAGAAAGTGTTGATAAAATCTGCACATCACTCGATCTTCTCAAATCTACCAAAGAAACGTTTGATCAGACACTCAAAGAAGAATATCATCAATATGAACAAAAACTGCAACAATCACAAACTATGAACCAACAGTGAGACTGTGAAAGGATGAGTTAATGCCAGAAACGAGAGAAGTATTGTTTTTCTTGTAGACATATCCATGATCTCAAACGCATGTGGACGGAAGTGGAGAAGATGATGATGACTAGTGTCGAAGATAGTACACAAATGTATCGAATCCTGGATCAAATCGAAGTGGAATTGAAAAAGAAACATAGTGAGGTAAAAAGTTAAAACTTGTAAGAAATCTAATGAAGTCCTCTATCTTTGAAAGCTATACTTCGAACCAATGATGTTGAAAGCAAGCCTTGGATCCGTGGATTCATCTGCAATCGATAGTAACGTGATACATGTCTTAAGGAATAAAGACGAGAGTGCCAATACTCAAATTTCTTCTCGGTCACCTACATTGAGTAAGTATCTAATATAACTATTTTTTCCAGTATTCACCAATATCATTGCGAAAGAAAGATGCATGCTGACGAATGTTATCTTGCAGTAGCTGTTATTACTAAACAGAACTTTATTTTAGGAACTATAAGCGAGGCGTCAATCAACGACTGTTCAAATTTGAATCAGAAAACGATCAATATACGAAAACCTATGGTCGAAGTTATCGAATCACGATGCGAAGTGTCGGGCACACGAACAGATAACAAGGAAACCATAGAAAATTGCATTTTGTTGCATTCAAATAATAGAACTACATATGAAATAACTGGAGAGGTTAGTCTCCTGTACTTAACTTTTCTTATCCAAAAAAGCATCACAGTCTCAACAAGATTATCCTTCTGTTTTTAATACGTATCGTAACTGTTGTAGAAAGTACCTCAATGGAGGATGTTCTCCGTGAGATTGTCAGAGTGATTGTAGAACATATACCTATCTACCCAAAAAAAATATCACATAGATTTTTGTATATATTCTGACGAAGAGAATCTTGTGTATCGAATGTGTACTACGCTAACTCTGAGCATTAGGTTGTATCCAATTTTTCTCGACGTGTCAACTGATTATTTTCTAGAATCCTTCTTCGAAACCAACAACTAACGGAAACGCTGAAGTGCCGGCTCCACATCGTTCATCATATAATAACGATGCGATTGTATCCAGCAAGAACGTCGCCAATGCCATGGTTATCTGGTTCGATTCCAGTACTCGCAGTTCAAATGAAAACTTGGAAAATTGCGTTATATTACTTCGATCTGTTGTCAATTCCGTGAAAAAGCATACTGATATCGATCAATGTGTTCATTTTCTTCAGGAAATCAAAGATGAATATGTCTTTATGGTTGTATCAAACTCATTAAGCCAACGGTTGATTTCTACTATGGAAAATTTACCGCAACTTCATTCATTCTACATACTCTGCGATCAGAACGAAACATATGCAGAAGAAACAAAAGATTGTAACAAGTTTAGAGGCGTATTTAACCGAATAGAACCTATTTGTGAAGAATTGAAGGATGTTATTCATCAAATGGAGTACGATTTGATACCAATTAGTATTATCCCAATGTCTCCTCAGCTTAACATTGATACATTGGATCAATCATTCATGTATTCGCAATTAGTTAAAGAAATTATCCTTGATATTGAATACAATACAAATGCAAAGAAAGAACTTGTTGATTTTTGTCGTTTGCACTATGCTGGTAATACTCGTGAACTGGAGATAATTAATGAATTTGAAAAGCACTATGATGATCCATCACCTATCTGGTGGTACACTCGAGAATGCTTTACTTACATGATGCTTAATAAAGCTTTAAGAACACAAGATTTAGAAGTCATCGTTAAAATGGCTTTTTTTATTCGCGATCTACATCAACAAATAAAAGAACTTCAATGGCAATCAAATTGTCAAAATCAATTGTTTGTTTATCGAGGACAAGGTATGCTAAACGATGAATTTGATAAACTAACTAAAAATCAAGGCGGATTATTTTCGTTCAATAACTTTCTATCTACAAGCACCAAAAGAGAAGTGTCAATTGGATTTGCACGTCGTGCTCGAATAAATGCTGCTCTAACTGGAATTTTATTTGAAATGAAAATCGACCCAACAATTTCATCAATTCCATTTGCCTCGTTAGATCAAATTAGTTATTTCTCTACTGAAAAAGAAATTCTCTTTTCAATGAATACTGTTTTTCGGATTGGTCAGATGAAACAACTTGAAGATCGTTTGTGGCAAGTTGATCTGACATTGACCAGTGGTAAAGATCAACAGTTACAGGATCTTACTGACTATTTACGAAATGAGATTGGCGGTGGAAATGGATGGCAACGAATGGGCATATTGATGTTTAAAATGGGTGAATTTAGCAAAGCTACTGAAATCTACAAAACACTTGTTGCCGACGTGTCTGATACTACTGATGCCGCATCTGCCGATTTGCAAGCAGCAACATACAACAACACTGCTTTAACGTATCAGACCATGGGACAACACACACTTGCTCTGTCATTCTTCGAGAAAGCACTTGAAATCAAACTAAAATACTATCCACCCAATGACTCATCACTCGCCGTGACTTACAACAACGTGGGTATGGTGCATAACTCATTGGGGAATTTTGCTGCAGCACAATCATACTTTGAAAAAACGATAGATATCTGGCAGAAATCTCTTCCGTCAAATCATTCGTCCTTTGGTGCTGTATATAATAACCTGTGTGGAATGCATCAATCCATGGGCAATTATTCGACTGCACTGCTATATGCTGAAAAAGCGCTTACAATATGGAAAGAATCGCTTCCGGCAGATCACCCAAACCTGGCTACTGCCTACTCTAATATTGGTAATTTGCACCAATCAATGAACAACTACTCTGCCGCACTGTTGACTTTGAATAAATGTCTCGAAATCCGTCTGAAGATACTTCCACCCAACCATCCAGATATAGCGAACACCTATAGAGATCTTGGTGCACTATGTCAGTATTTATCAAAGTACCAAGATGCATTATCATATTTTGAAAAAGCTCTTGAAATCCAAGAAAAATCTCGTTCTCTGAATCATGCAGATTTGGCAACAACATACAATAATATTGGTACAACATATATTTCAATGAACGATAACTCAACTGCATTATCATACCTTCAAAAGGCACTAGAAATTCAGCAGAAATATCTGTCTTGTGATCATATAGACTTGGGGAGGACCTATATAAACATTGGACAAATACAACATTCATCGGGTCAATTATCAATTGCACTCTCATATTATGAGAAAGCACTCGACATCTGGCAGAAACGTCTTCCATCTAATCATCCATCGATGGCTACTATTTATAATGACATGACCATGGCCTGTGCTGGTCTCGGTCGAAAGCGAGAGGCTGTCGCTTATGCCGAACGATGTGTCGCTATTTCAGTCGATAGGTTAGGACCAGATCATTTGCAGACCAAAGCGATACGATTATTTGTTGATCACCTTCGACGACAAATGTGACATATTATCAATTAATTACTATATAGAAGTCGCAAAGTTCTTGTAAACCGAAATCATTGTTAAAACTTTCTATTAATAACACGAAAAAATCACGCGGTTAAATATAATTGCCATTGATATTCTAATATACAAGCCTGTTCTGGTAGAACTTGCTATCTCTATTACTTGCTATCCAGAAGTTGAGAGTTAGTGAGGGTGAGATCTTGGATGAAAAAGAGATACTCATAGCTTCAAACCCACTGCACCCGCAAGACGGTCTGTAGCAGAAAAATACTAAGAAAAAATGAATACCCAAGTGTAGGGACCTTTTATGTCAGCGCGCTACGTGCCCATAAAAGCTCTGCAGAGACTTGGGTCTTCATTCTAAACTATCGGTTTTTGCAGCATAAACAGACCTTAGTAGACTGCGTCGAATGACTTTTGAACAAACTCTCTACCATTTATAGTTCTGGAGAGAATTGAAAAGTACTATGTTAAAATGTCATAGCGTGACGTTCAGACAAGCTAACATATCAGCTTGTACGCGCGTGACGCGATGACGTTTTGGCCCACTTCTTTTTACTTTTCTTCAGAATGATATCAACTAAAACACTTTCTTTTTTCCAGAAACGTATATCTCTATTACCTTCATATCTCCTAAAAATATCAGCTCACAGGAGTGAATCGTTTGGGAATAAACGGAAAAATGAAGGCCGAAACGCGATGACGAAAAAGGACCAAAAAGTTGAGGGTGACGTGATTGTTCTTTATTTTTCTGCGAATGTGTACTAAATGTAAGGAAATGTTCTATGCACGTTTTGTAGCCAACAGTTTTAGGTATGCAATGAAGAAAAAATATTATTCGAATTAACTTATTATTTTGAAAACAGATCGGTTGGATTAACGTAACGCGATGATGGCCTCGTAACGCGATGATGATGACTTTTGTAGTCCTTTTTCTATGCTTCATTTTTTAATATAAACAACTCTGTGAAGGCAAGATATTATTTTTGTTCTATCGCTTAGAGTATACACATGTGAAACATTGTGTTTTTTGATTTTTCTAATGCAAAAAAATTGTGAAAAAGACAAACTAGTTAGACTAATATGTATAGTAATATGCGTAAGTCGAAAAAACTCAAAATTTCAGTTAACATTTTTTTCTCGATGATTTACATATGGTTAGATAGAGCTCAAAAAACTACGTAAGAAAATGTACTCGGAATATTTTTTCCTCTTGTATAAAAATCAAAAACCTCAAAATACTGAGATCGTTCTGTTACTGAGACCGTTTTGTATAGAATGACCTAAGTATTTTGAGGTTTTTCATAAATATACAAAAAGGAAAAAAATTCACAGTACATTTTCTTACGCAGTTTTTTGAGCTCTATCTAACCATATATAAATCATCAAGAAAAAATGTTAACTGAAATTTTAAGTTTTCTCAACCTCACGTATAGATCATAGAAACGGTAGCGGATTTAGATTAGTTACTTAATTTTAATTGAACACAATATACTTATCAGACCAATCAGCTTTATTCTTATGGCAATCAGTCAGTAATCAATGAAAAAAACGATTACACATATCTTATAGTGATTTTAGCTAATAAATCATCGTCTGAATACGTTTTTTGAAATATACTGAAAAACGTTGAAAACAGGAAAAATCGTCATCGTGTTACGTAAAATTATTTCAAAACGCAATCTTTTTCAGACAAAAATGCATGTATCAAATAGCCCATGAAAAACTAGTTTTAGTTATCTATTGTTTGTAAAAAAAAAGTTGAGATCAACAGGTGAAAAAAAACAATATTCATTTTTCGTTACGCGATGAAGTTATAAATAGCGTAGTTTTGATTGGGTTCGATATCCGAAAGTATAGCACATAAAAAATTTGCTATTATAGGAAAATATACATCTATTAGCGTAGTCTTAATTAGTCTTAATCAACTTCGTATATATCAAGCCGTTTGGGTATACGTGTCAGATGAACTCACGGTCCAAATAGAGAAAATTTCTGTGTCTATTAGTAATCTCTCTGTCGTCAATTATGAAATCTGATTTAAAGCACCTACTCACTAAACAAAATATGTTTTTATACACTTTCGACTATGCTCTACAAGATGGTGACAACGGTTTCTCAAAGTATTTATTTCGAACTCTCACCACTGAAGTGACACGTTACGCGTACAAGCTGATATGCTAATAAGTATACTCAGCCACAAAGGAGATTGCAAATGGAAAACGAAATCATAATATGCAGAAAATATGTGATTTTTTCTCTGATTATAATTCGAGGAGAAAATATAATCGACAATCCAAAATCAAAAGTTTGTAGTAGTAAGTCATTTTGTTAGATAACACTCAAAATATAGTTCGTTATACGATACAAACTAGTTTATGCAAATAAACTTCCCAGTCTTTTTTCTGACATTCCATTGAACAGTAATGAGCCTTGCGGCATTTCGAGCAAATGTGTGGCGCATTTTCTGCACAGCAATATCGACACATGTTCTTTATTCGCTCTTCCTTGGGATGATTGACGATCGAATCAAAGTCGTCTACCCGTATCGCCGGCTTTTTATCAAACGCGATACGATGATAAGGGTTATAAATTGTAACTTTACTTCCAATAGTATAAACCGTTGTGCAAAGATATTCACCTTGGTTTTGAGGAAAATTATAAATGTTCAGTTTTTCGACGTCATTATTCTTATCTTGGACAACAAGATTGATCGAAGGTGTAGCAAACTCGGCCGATTCAATTATGGTTAACTGAAGCATGCAGCCACGATAAACTTTATCTGTATCTGGACACATGTGGCGTAGGGTAATGTTTTTGAAACCGAAATCAGATTGAGGAGCACGTTGGGTATGCGCTGAAGGTACAGAATAGTTGAATTCTTGAACGAACATACCAGATTTTTTGGAAGTTAACGTAACCTGTCGATTTCCTGCCTTATATTGTCGAAGAGTACGAATTATTTCGATGCGTTTTGGATCAGACAGTTGAGTTGCATTACATGATTGTATTCTAGGAGCTGAGGCTGAATTATCGACTGGAGTTGATTCCAATTGATCGTCTATCAGTTGAGAACTGCCAGCCTGTAAGTACAAAAAACATTTCCTTCATGGATATCCTTGCTCGAATCCTGTAAAAGAATTATATACTCTGCGTACTTTATTTTACTGTTCAATACTAGACAATGCGATCGGTGGTATCAAAAATAAAAATCATATTTTTTAAATCAAAACGAAATCACATGACTTAAATATTCTCTGCTACTCTATTTTGTCAGTCGTGAAAACTAGAATTTAACGAACTAGAGGCGACTATGTGCCATGCAAACAATAACTATTTGTTCATCTTCATTTAGACTCTAATGCATTTACACATATGATGCTGTTGCTAACAAAATGGAGAAAATTCTAAAACATTCGAAATTTATTTTCTGACTAACAGTCTTTTTGAAATTCAAGGCCGTCTTCACTCACTGTTAGGTAGAAACATTGTACAGTCCTTCATTTTGAAAACACTCTCGTATTATATTTGTGAATAAACAAAGCTGCATTCTTCGATTACTCTATCAACAAGAGCAAACTTCCTTTAATGGTAGTACTTTCCCACAAAGCATACCTGTAAAGTGAATTAATTGAACATTACTCTTAACAAAATATTTTGAACAATCAGGAAAAATTGTTTAGACAAGCGTATGAAGTATTCTTCGGCTAAGAGACCAACCTGCTCAATTATTTTTGAAGTTGTTTTCTTGGTACCATTCGTCAAACTAGTATTTTCTGTAATCTGTTTGTTATTTTGTGGCACACTCGTTGGTTCACGTTCACAGCTAGTATTGTCATCCAAAGTTTTCTTCTGATCGACTGTTGTATTGTGATTCGATTCTAGACAATCCCGTTTTGCAATTTCTTCGAGAGTACCTGAAATACATTCATTGTTTAAATTTGTAAAAATCTTTATAAATGATGATTATTGTTAAAACACATATGTAGTGGATATAACGCGCGATGAATTCACGCACAACAATAGTTCTACTACACGCTTACTCGATTTTGATGAGGAAGATAATGATGGAACATTGGATAATATTGAATCAGACAAACATTCATTGAGACATCCAAGAGTTAGTGGTGATGCAGTTGGTTGAAAACGGAGCTAGAATAAAAGTTCAACCGATCTTTTCATGCTGTAACTCATACCTGTATGTATTCTCTTGCAAGACTAGCTTCGATTCCACTTAGCATACGATCGATTTGTGTACTATCTTCGACACTAGTTATCATCACCTTCTCCAGTTCTGTCCATATCTGCTTGAGATCATTGATATGTCTACAAGGAAAACAACACTTCTCTCGATTCTGACATCAACTCATCCTTTCACAGTCTCACTGTTGGTTCATAGTTTGTGATTGTTGCAGTTTTTGTTCATATTGATGATATTCTTCTTTGAGTGTCTGATCAAACGTTTCTTTGGTAGATTTGAGAAGATCGAGTGATGTGCAGATTTTCTCAACACTTTCTTTCAATGTTTCACACTTCGAAGCTACAAAAGACAGAATTCTTCAATAAATATACTTTTCTCTTGCAAAAATTATATCTTGGAAAAGTACGTAGGATAGGTGACATTGCTAAACTTAGTCAATTATTAGAATAAGAACAAGAACATATCATGGGCGGAGATCGTATTGTGTTTAGTTTCACCATAGTTCTACTCCTTGACAGAATATCAAGATTTTGAAACAGATAACTCACTTGTCTGCTGACGTAGAGAATCAATTCTTTTTTCAAGTTCGGCTTGCGCTTGAGATGCTCTGTTTTCTTCCCGATGCTTTTCTATGCATGAAGAACATTTTGGATATTGACAAAGTTCACAAGCCTTCAGTTGTCCATGTAGTTGACAGCCTGCACATCTTGCATACAAGCTGGGTGTAACAGGCAATATAGTTTCTGCTGGATTTTTTCCTTTTTTTCGTGGCATCTTGATTGTGCAACAAGCGAACTGTTATACGTTGTTTGTCTCATAATTGTTGCCTGATAAAAATCTTCTGTTCTCTTGTTTCACATTTTTCTCTTTCTTTTTTGTGCCGATAATGCTCTGCGCACTGTTGATAGTGCACTAGACGTTATTGAATCACACATGAAGAACAAAGAATTTATTTTACTTTTCTCTCAATAATATCTTTAAATATTGTGTAGGCAAAATGTCAATGCAAAAGTGCCTGCACACAATAATATTTTTCTTCTGTCCTGTCTTTGTGGTTGTTGTATGTTGTAACAGAAACAAAAGAGGTCCCTTTTTTTTCTCTGGTAACTCTCAGCAACTAGAAAGACAGGACAGAAGAAAAATATTATTGTGTTGCAGGCACTTTCGCATCAGTATTTTGCATACAGAATATACAAAAACATCACTGAGAGAAAAGGTAAAACAAATTCTTTGTTCTTCATGTGCGTCTCAATAACATCTAGTGCGTTATCAGCACAAAAAGCTGAGAGAAAAATATGAAAAACGAGAACCAATGATTTTTATCAAGTAACCATTATGAGACAAACAACATACAACAGTTCACTTGCTGTACAATCAAGATGCCACAAAATAAAGGAAAAAATATAACAGAAACTATATTGCCTGCTTCACCCAGCTTGCATGCAATATGTGAGTACGGGTGTACCTCTTCTCTTGACTGCCATTCCATGCCCAGATCCAGATACAGACCCACACCCATCAAATATGTTATATCACGTGCTATAGACAAGAACACTTGTATTATTACTAATGATAGTATATCATTATACAGGAAATATTTTATCACAGTATTATTTGGAATTTTGGCTTATCGTATATAACCTTTAATTTGTTCAGAATTAGATAAACAGCTAGCTGTGATGGTTTTTGTATAGGTTGAGGGTGTGGGTATTCAATTCATCATTCAACCACACTCCCAAGATAGAATGAAATCAAAAGGAAATCTTCTTAGTGCGAAAAATAGACATGTATACATGCAGTGCTTAAAAAAGTGTAAGAGTATTATTTAGTTTTAGAGCTTCATGGATAAGGTCATAATTGTTTGTAATTAACGGATTGGAACTCAGCGTCAGACATTCCAATGTTTGATTTGTAATAAGAAGAATGTGGGTGTGGGTGTGGATTTAAGAAGAGTATAACATTCACACACATTCGCTCGCTGCAGATCCCTAATGATTTATTCCCGATTTCATTTTGTGACAAGAACTATGAAAATTTGTTTCTTTTTTCCAAGTTTCATGGGTAAAAAGGCACTGTTTGTTATTGCAAAATAGAAACAGAATGAATATTTTTCTCGTTTCTTCCTATAATATAGTACTGTCTCAGACGTATATATGAAGAATTGTTCTTATCTCTTATAGGCAGAGAAGAAATCCTATCAAGATGAATAATATTATTATCAGTTGAAAAGAAAACAAAGAATTCCTGCCTACTTAGAGTATTCACTTTGTTTGTCACACTTTCTGAGGGTGTGGGTGTGGGTGTGGGTGTGGGTGTGAGTGTAAGTGGGTGGATGTGGGTAGTGGTAGGTGTGAGCAGTGTATTGTAATCCGACACTCACACCCACACCCTCAAGTATAAGGAAAAGAGAAATGGAGAAGAATAAAATCACGTCAACAAGATTATTTGTTTTTATAAAAGATGAATAATTTCTTTTCGTCCAGCAATACTTGGATTATTTGTTTGAGCACATTCTTTTATTTTTCTTCATAGTTTTCTTTTTCACTAGTTAGAATTGCATAAAAACGTTTGTTTTCGTCTTCTGGAGCGTGTTGCAATTTTTGTTGACGATGCAATTGTTCTTGTTCTTCCCAACTAAATAAAGCGACAAAAATAAACGAAATCTAATTTTCGTTCAAATCACATACTTCTGCCGACATCGATCGTTAATAATCATTAATTGTTCATGTAGCCAATTCGCTGGTTGGAAATGACTACTATTTGGACATACAGGAAAATTATTCCATAGCCTATCATAAGTATTAATCATAATACAATCAGATCTCACATTATATATACTATCAATAGGATGAATAATCAACGGTGGATGTTCATAAAATTGTCGAAGAATTTTTTCATTTTTTATCTTCTAAATCCACCATTAACATGATTAGATATTTATCATTCACGATAAATAATCGCTCATAATACGTATTCCTGGAACTTGTTTCGAACAAAAGAGCGTCTAAGTTCTCTAAAGGGGCTATATTTGATTGTTTCATTTGTTGTTAAATAGAAAAATCCATAATTGGAGGTGGTGGATAAATCAATTGGCTGATCAATGGAATCAATTCTATCATACTTTCAAATAAGAAACATATGAATGCACCAATAACAATATAAGCTGTATAACACATGTAATGGTACGAAGCATCGAATGCTCGAACACTACTGCTAAATTGCTGGTATTTATGTGAATATGCGGGTCGATAACGATATCCGATTATGATACCGCATTTTTTAATTACCTTTTTATTGAATACCTCTGAATTTTCATTATACATTTGTTCAACCTGATTAATATATGTTGATTTGTCAGACCTATGCATATATTCTGTTGAAGAATTGATAAGTTGTTTGACTATGCATTGTAATGTATTAATGGTGAACGATTGAAAATCATATGTATGACGTATTTGCCAATAAAATGGATCATTTGCAGCAAATTTAACAAACACAACTATGTCCTCCGTGTCAATAGTTGGTTCTATAATACGATTGAAAATATATAACAGTTTTCCATCTGAATGATGACCATGAAGTACTTGCAATGCATCTTTTATACTTTCATCGATTGCATTTTCACCCAGTTCAATTTGGACGTACTCATGTAGAAGCAGAAGTGAATGAAAAAAATAATCTAGTGTCACTATACGCGCGAAATTCTTCCAGATTCATGGGAAAGAGATCCTTCCATGCATTATATAAGTGACTAGGGGATTGGAAAAACAATAGTCCAACAAATGGCAACCACAAACTACCAAATATCTTTCGGATAGATGCTCAATGCGTATATCGAGCTTCTTTCAGATGTTGATTACGAATACGCAAGAATAATGATGAACAAGACCACTGGGTTTTCATAGTTTTATTTCAAATCTTTTAATTTTTTCAACAAAGCATTAACCCTTTAAGTACCAACGGGGCCTATAAGCCCCACTCTTTTAGAATTTGACATATTCTGAATAAATTACGAATGCGAAACAATATCGAAGTGAACTTGTCATTGTGGCATAGAGAGCATGTAGGTGCTTGTATTCGCGCGGTATTTATCATTTTAATAATCCTTTAAGTACCAGCGTACCGTAGGGGGTACGGGTATTGATCAAAAATGACTTCGAAAGTTTTTTAAAAAGTTTCGATGGAAATATTCACAACATACAATATACATGTTAGAAATAAAGTCCTAACAAAGTTTCATCCATTGGCTGAGCTATGGTACTTAAAGGGTTAAAGAAAAGGAAGAAAAGTGAAAGAGACGTGGACTGACTCCATCATACAGAATGAATTGTATTTAATATTATTTATAACTGTCAACGTTTCGTAGCATCGTGTATGAATCATATTTCAGTAGTTAATGCATTTACATCGACGCTATCGATTATATGCTTCAATGTTGTTATTTTTTTCTTTTCTTTTCTTTTTCATTTTCGAATAATTCTAAGCACATGAAAATTTTGATGACCACATTTTAACATGTCCACATGTATTAGAAAGACGAAGTGTACTGTTAACTAAAAACCATCTTGAGGGTGGGTGAGGGTGTCAATGAACACAAGATACCCACACCCACACGCTCAAGTTATTCTTTTTGTTCCAAATTATTATTTTTTGATCCTTAAATAAAATTTTTCGAATATTTCATTTTATCTTTTTTGATACTTTTGTTTTTATTTTCTGAAATAACTGTGTCGAAGAGAATTTTTCTAAAACAATCAATTTCAATTTCAAGTTTGATAAAAAAAAAACTAAACAAAGAGACGAATTTATTTCTTTTCAATTTTCGATTAAAAAAAACTTTATTGAATTTGTTTCAAATTAAATCAAAAATAATTTTGAATAGGTTTTGTTTAATCAGAATTTATTGAATATTATTAGAAAAAATAATATTCAATATGCCAATAGTTCGACAAGTTTCTGGTGAAACATAATGAACATAAATATGTAGAAATAGTGTAGGAAAAATAGTTAAAGGAAAGAGTATATCAAGAAAAATGAGTGTATGCACTAATATAAATTGATGATGATGATGCGAAACATTTAAACGTATACTATTTTGGTGGACACAATGAGTATTGGCCAGATATATCGCCAGAAATGCCAGTATATAGATTACTTTGATTCACATTGAATAAAAGTGAGAAAGAAAGAAATATCGAAGAAAATAAATTTGTAAAAATATTATAACGACGTAATATAGGTAAAAGAAACACTACAAACTGAGTATTGTCAAGCATGTATGGAAGAAAATAATTGAAAAGTACATAATTAATAAGAATACATATGTTGATTACACATAGAATGGTAAAATATCCATAGATCGGTATAAAATATAATCAAATTTAATACTAATATTATTAATGTATTTCTGGGTACGCAACATGTTTCTATTGATCATTGAACTTGTCTTTTTTAATTAGCTCTGTACTTTATCCATTCTTATATATGGTATCATAAAATCATACAAACTCGTAAAGCTTCACAGGACTGAAAGTTCGTTCCATGATTTATGAATTCAATACAAGCGAAAAATACAAACTTTCGTACTCATAAAATAAATAATTAAAAAAGAAAATGTCCTTTTTTGTTTCACCCTTTTTCTTCAATTTCATAAAAGTGCTTACTGTGCATATGTAATACCCGAATTTATAGTTGTTCCCTATCATTCTTTATTTTTTTACTTACGAAAGAAATGTTATTTCTTTGCATCTGCCTTGTATTAATTTCGAATGTTAATGGTGTGCATTTTCTCGGTGGTACTATTACATGGCGCCCATTAAATGCATCAGCTACTGGATCACCTATAGCTATCGTTATTACTCAAACTTATTCCTGGACTTATACTGATATGTCATGCAGTAATACTTTAATTGCTACGAACGGTGAGATTCCATCATATGCAGGAGTTTCTTCAGCTACACTTGCTTGTATAAGCAATTGTGGTACTAGTTCTGCTGGATATTCTCCTATCGGTGTTCTTCCTCGTTGCACTGATTTTTCGAATGTTGCTGATACTTCTATTGGACAACGTGT